ATCATATACACATTCCACTCAGCCCAATAGAAATCCCCGTTGGTGTGTATGATTGTAGAGATATATCTGTGTGCTGAGCGGAGGGGGGGGGGGGGGGTCATATATGGAGCTATAAATGTGAGATATTAGAACATCGGGATAGATATAGAATTGCATTGATCTCTCTTTTATGTCATTTTAATGGTGACCTCCGAGCACAAAAAAAAAAAAAAACTTCTTTTAAATCTATTCTGATCCCATAGCCACACAAGTTATAGATCCACTTTGCACCAAGTGCCTGCGCAAACTCAGATATTACCTTGTAAAAGTAACGATGACATCATCCCTGTACTGCACATAGCCTGTGCAGAGAGTAGAACTGTGGGAGAGTCTCAGCAGGCCACGCCCACCACAGATCACTGCAGGAGGGGGCGGAGACAAGACCGGTCACCCTGCACAAGGAGAGAGAGAGCAGCAGTGGCCGGTCTTTGTTACAGGACGCTCACTACAGAACGGATCTGGGAGAAATCAACAGAGCGCACCAAGGGATCTATTTATTTGAATGGACTCCCGTGCCCGTGACACGCAGGGAAGAAGTCCCTGCACTACTCTGGAAAACGCAGCCGAGGTTCCCAGTACGGTTGCGTTTCCCAGTGCGGGCGGCGTGCCATTAGAACTAATATCACCCACCCACGGGTCCGCATGTCTCTGTGCGGGTGGTGCGGCTGCACGGATTTTCATGTGGATCTGCAGCGGAACCACCCGCACAGATGTGAACCGAGGGTTAGTGATGGATATCTTTCTAACGGAGCTCCTGGACAGCAGTAAAAACATGACAGGGCCCATAGGGAAGAAAAAATATATTTGAAATATATTTGAAAAATATTCTTCCCAAATACATTGCCATACAGGCAGGGGATAAGGGGGTACCACCAGTCGTCCTGTATGGGGCCCAGGCCTGCAGGGGGGCCCAGGCAGTTGGGTCAATCGGATGTGGGCAGGAAGGGGGAACTACTGGAACCAATCCCCTGTATGGATCTCCCTCCAGCAACTGAAAGCTGGGTTCTTCTCCTCCCCCCTGGCTGGCTTTAAGCTGCTGCAGAGAGAAACATACAGGGGATCAGTTCAAGTAATTCACCAGCCCCCTTCATTCCTGAATGAACACAGTGAGTGATCAAACCCCCCCCCCCCCCAATCCTACACCCTCAGTTGATCCAGAGGAAAGCAAAAAAAAACCCAGCAAAGCATGACCCAATTTGCTCCTGCAGGGGTAAAAAATTCCTTCCTGATGTGTTTTGTAATTTGTTGCTGGGCAGATTAAAAAACACATCAAAAACATTTCAAAAGCACACTGCATGCATTTCTGCAGCAGCTCCATCCAAGTCTACTCTTGCATTTTGTATTTAGGACCCTTTCTAGAAATGCAGCCGCAGAAAAAAAAGCACAGATGTGAATGCGTCCCATAGGAAACCATGTTAAATGGACTGTAGTGCGTCTCTGCAAAAAGCACCCAAAAAAACGCATTGGTGCTGCTGCCAGACTCATCCACCTTACTAACCGTTCTGTATCTGCCACCCTCTCTGCCAATCCCTCCACTGGCCTCCACTCAGTGTCTTCCACCCCCTCTCTGCCAATCCCTCCACTGGCCTCCACTCAGTGTCCTCCACCCCTCTCTGCCAATCCCTCCACTGGCCTCCACTCAGTGTCCTCCACCCCTCTGCCAATCCCTCCACTGTCCTCCACTCAGTGTCCTCCACCCCTCTGCCAATCCCTCCACTGCCTCCACTCAGTGTCCTCCACCCCTCTCTGCCAATCCTCCACTGGCCTCCACTCAGTGTCTTCCACCCCCTCTGCCAATCCCTCCACTGGCCTCCACTCAGTGTCCTCCACCCCTCTCTGCTAATCCCTCACTGGCCTCCACTCAGTGTCCTCCACCCCTCTGCCAATCCCTCCACTGTCCTCCACTCAGTGTCCTCCACCCCTCTGCCAATCCCTCCACTGTCCTCCACTCAGTGTCCTCCACCCCTCTCTGCCAATCCCCCTCCACTGGCCTCCACTCAGTGTCCTCCACCCCTCTCTGCCAATCCCTCCACTGGCCTCCACTCAGTGTCCTCCACCCCCCTCTGCCAATCCCTCCACTGGCCTCCACTCAGTGTCCTCCACCCCTCTCTGCCAATCCCTCCACTGGCCTCCACTCAATGTCCTCCACCCAGGGGCGGACTGACAACTCATGGGGCCTCCGGCAATAGGGGATCATGGGACCCCTGTGTCATTGCCCAAACTCAAAAAAGCATATGAAAAAGGTACCAGGGGCATCTCATGGGGCCCCCTACTGACCCCGGGCCCTCGGGCAGTGTGCGAGTTTCCAAATGGTCAGTCCGCCCTTGCCTCCACCCCTCTCTGCCAATCCCTCCACTGGCCTCCACTCAGTGTCCTCCATCCCTCTCTGCCAGTCCCTCCACTGGCCTCCACTCAGTGTCCTCCACCCCTCTCTGCCAATCCCTCCACTGGCCTCCACTCAGTGTCCTCCACCCCTCTCTGCCAATCCCTCCACTGGCCTCCACTCAGTGTCCTCCACCCCTCTGCCAATCCCTCCACTGGCCTCCACTCAGTGTCCTTCACACCTCTCTGCCAATCCCTCCACTGGCCTCCACTCAGTGTCTTCCACCCCTCTGCCAATCCCTCCACTGGCCTCCACTCAGTGTCCTCCACCCCTCTCTGCCAATCCCTCCACTGGCCTCCACTCAGTGTCCTCCACCCCTCTCTGCCAATCCCTCCACTGGCCTCCACTCAGTGTCCTCCACCCCTCTGCCAATCCCTCCACTGGCCTCCACTCAGTGTTATCCACCCCTCTCTGCCAATCCCTCCACTGGCCTCCACTCAGTGTCCTCCACCCCTCTGCCAATCCCTCCACTGGCTTCCCATTGCCCAACGGATAAAATTTAAAACATTAACAATAACAAAGCCATTTATAACTCCGCCCCAAATTACATCACTGATCTTGTCTCCAAATACCACCCAAACTGTACTCTCCGCTCCTCGCAAGACCTCCTCCTCTCTAGCTCCCTTGTCTCTTCCTCCCATTCTTGTCTCCAGAGCTTCCCCCATCCTCTGGAACTCTCTACCCCAATTTATCAGACTATAGCCTACTCTGCTCACTTTTAGGCGATCTCTGAAAACCTCTCTCTTCAGGGAAGCCTATCCTGCCCTCAGCTAATAATGGAATCTTCTACTCTCCAACCAGTCCATCCCCCACAGTTATTACCTTTTGTACCACTAGCCCCTCCCTCCTAGATTGTAAGCTCCCAGGATCAGGGCCCTCCTATCCCTCTTGTATTGAACTGTATTGTTGCTGTATTGTCCCCCGTTATATTGTAAAGCGCTGAGCAAACTGTTGGCGCTATATAAATCCTGTATAATAATAATATATAAATCCTGTATAATAATAATATATATATAAATCCTGTATAATAATAATAATATATATAAATCCTATAATATATGTATAAATAATATAATATATATAAATCCTGTATAATAATAATAATATATATAAATCCTGTATAATAATAATATATAAATCCTGTATAATAATAATAATAATATATATAAATAAATCCTGTATAATAATAATAATAATAATAATAATAATATATAAATCCTGTATAATAATAATAATAATATATAAATCCTGTATAATATAAATAATATATAAATCCTGTGTATAATAATAATAATAATAATAATAAATCCTGTATATAATAATAATATATATAAATCCTGTATAATAATAATAATAATAATAATAATATATATAAATCCTGTATAATAATAATAATAATATATAAATCCTGTATAATAATAATAATATAAATCCTGTAATAATAATAAATCCTGTATAATAATATATTAAATCCTGTATATAATAATAATATATAAATCCTGTAATAATAATAATAATATATATAAATCCTGTATAATAATAATAATAATAATAATATATATAAATCCTGTATAATAATAATAATAATAATAATTGGTGTGAACCCTGCTTAATTATTATTATTTAATCGTAATAATCAAATATTCTGAATTGAAATATTTCAGCGTATATCTAAGTATTTCTCTATCTTCCTGGAGTTCAGCTTTAAATCCTGGGCGGCGAGTGTGTTTTCTTGCAGGAACGTTACACGTGGTGGCGGGCTGGGTGTAACATGATCTGCAGAACAATGCTTTCTATATCAAAGGTTATACCTAACAAAAAAGGAGAAATGATCTCTCCCCATTAGTGTGCACACCTCGCCAGGCTGGCTGGGGCCCATCTGCTCCTTCCCGGGGCCCAGGCACTGCTGACTTCTCCAGGGAGAAGGTGGACGGTGCTCAGGTGCTGAGAGCAGAACAGGTATCAGCCGCCAGCAAGCGCACAGTGACAGGTCTCGCCCACTCCCAGTTCTTGGCAGGGCACCAGCAGGCAGGATACACCCCACAGCTACGAAAAAAAAAAAGAAAGAAAGAAAAGGATCGTGGAGATAAGCCGGCGGAGCCAGAGGTGGAACCGTCTTCTCCCAGGTCTCCCGAGAGGGACGCTTCCAGGACAGAGAGGGTGCCCTGCAGGTGAGTCCCACATTTCCTGATCCCTTCCTCTTTCCCATACAAAGAGACTTTGTCCTCCTGCAGAGGGATCAGAGGTAGGGGACGGGTCACCCTGCCAGGCAGAGCGAGGCGCAATCTCTGCTGCTCTCGGTTATCGCATTGTGTGCCGCTTTATACCAGCATGTTTGCTTCTCAGCACCTCGCTGCGGGTTCATTGATTGCCAGACCTAAAGCAACCGTTCTTCACCAGGGTTGTGGGGAATACTAGGGTTCCTCCAGAGGTGGCTGGGGGTTCCGTGAGTGATCAGCGATTTCTGTCTCTACGATATGCAAATTCTGACCTCAATGGTCTGTTATGGTATCTGTAACAGCGGCATACTATCTATTGACCACCAATGTAAGGGACGTCTTCCCACTGACCACCCATTCTGACCACCAATGTAAGGGACATTCTTCCCACTGACCACCAATGTAAGGAACATTCTTCCCACTGACCCCCAATGTAAGGGACATTCTTCCCACTGACCACCAATGTAAGGAACATTCTTCCCACTGACCACCAATGTAAGGGACATTCTTCCCACTGACCCCCAATGTAAGGAAAATTCTTCCCACTGACCCCCAATGTAAGGGACATTCTTCCCACTGACCCCCAATGTAAGGAGCATTCTTCCCACTGACCCCAATGTAAGGGACATTCTTCCCACTGACCCCAATGTAAGGGGCATTCTTCCCACTGACCCCAATGTAAGGAGCATTCTTCCCACTGACCACCAATGTAAGGGACATTCTTCCCATTGACCACCAATGTAAGGGACATTCTTCCCACTGACCCCCAATGTAAGGGACATTCTTCCCACTGACCACCAATGTAAGGGACATTCTTCCCACTGACCCCTAATGTAAGGGACATTCTTCCCACTGACCCCCAATGTAAGGGACATTCTTCCCACTGACCACCAATGTAAGGGACATTCTTCCCACTGACCCCCAATGTAAGGGACATTCTTCTCACTGACCCCCAATGTAAGGGACATTCTTCCCACTGTAAGGGGCATTCTTCCCCCCAATGTAAGGAGCATTCTTCCCACTGACCCCCAATGTAAGGGACATTCTTCCCACTGACCACCAATGTAAGGGACATTCTTCCCACTGACCCCCAATGTAAGGGACATTCGTCCCACTGACACCCAATGTAAGGGACATTCTTCCCACTGACACCCAATGTAAGGGACATTCTTCCCACTGACCACCAATGTAAGGACATTCTTCCCACTGACCCCAATGTAAGGGCATTCTTCCCACTGACCACCAATGTAAGGGACATTCTTCCCACTGACCACCAATGTAAGGGACATTCTTCCCACTGACCCCAATGTAAGGGGCATTCTTCCCACTGACCACCAATGTAAGGAGCATTCTTCCCACTGACCACCAATGTAAGGGACATTCTTCTCACTGACCACCAATGTAAGGAACATTCTTCCCACTGACCCCCAATGTAAGGGAACATTCTTCCCAGTGAAACTATCTTCAGAGGGGCACACAGAGAAGGGTTTCATGGCTAAGCGATGTAATATCAGGCATCTTGGGACGTTTGCTGTCCAGCAGGACTTTTACATTTAAACATTTGCTTTAAGCCTACAAGCTAAAAAAGGAAGGGTTTTGTAAATAAATATGCCCATTAAATACATATTTTTAGTAATGGATTCACATTGAAATATTCCAAGAGTCTCCACACTTTCTAAACAAAGTGCCAGTTTACTGTCCTTCAGATGTTGGGGGGAGGGGGGCTGGACTGTGGCCATAACGTCTGTGGTCAGTAGAAGGCGAAATAATACCCCATCATGGAAGAAACGTACCCATCAATCTGTGTCAATAAAAGGTATATTGCCCTATTATTGGTGTCAGTGGGAGAAATAGTGCCCCATCATTGGTGTCAGTGGGAGGAATTGTGCCTCATCATTGGTGTCAGTGGGAGGAATAGTACCCATCATTGGTGTCATGGGAGGAATAGTGCCCTATCATTGGTATTAGTGGGGGGAATAGTGTCCCATCATTGGTATCAGTGGGAGGAATAGTGTCTCATCATTGGTGTCAGTGGGAGGAATAGTGCCCCATCATTGGTGTCAGTGGGAGGAATAGTGCCCATCATTGGTGTCAGTGGGAGGAATAGTGCCCTATCATTGGTGTCAGTGGGAGGAATAGTGCCCTATCATTGGTGTCAGTGGGAGGAATAGTGCCCTATCATTGGTGTCAGTGGGAGGAATTAGTGCCCTATCATTGGTGTCAGTGGGAGGAATAGTGCCCTATCATTGGTGTCAGTGGGAGGAATAGTGCCCTATCATTGGTGTCAGTGGGAGGAATAGTACCCCATCATTGGTGTCAGTGGGAGGAATAGTGCCCTATCATTGGTGTCAGTGGGAGGAATAGTGCCCCATCATTGGTGTTAGTGGGAGGAATTGTGGTGTCAGCGGGGAATAGTGCCCCATCATTGGTGTCAGTGGAAGGAATAGTGCCCCATCATTGGTGTCAGTGGGAGGAATAGTGTCCCATCATTGGTATCAGTGGGGGGAATAGTGCCCCATCATTGGTGTCAGTGGGAGGAATAGTGCCCTATCATTGGTGTCAGTGGGAGGAATAGTGCCCTATCATTGGTGTCAGTGGGAGGAATAGTGCCCCATCATTGGTGTCAGTGGGAGGAATAGTGCCCCATCATTGGTGTCAGTGGAAGGAATAGTGCCCCATCATTGGTATCAGTGGGAGGAATAGTGCCCCATCATTGGAGTCAATGGGGGGAATAGTGCCCCATCATTGGTATCAGTGGAAGGAATAATGCCCCATCATTGGTGTCAGTGGAAGGAATAGTGCCCCATCATTGGTGTCAGTGGAAGGAATAATGCCCCATCATTGGTGTCAGTGGGGAATAGTGCCCCATCATTGGAGTCAATGGGGGGAATAGTGCCCCATCACTGGTGTCAGTGGGAGGAATAGTGCCCCATCATTGGTATCAGTGGGAGGAATAATGCCCCATCATTGGTGTCAGTGGGAGGAATAGTGCCCCATCATTGGTGTCAGTGGGAGGAATAGTGCCCCATCATTGGTGTCAGTGGGAGGAATAGTGCCCCAAGGGCTGGAAACAGGCTAGCAAAGAAGTAGTAATCACATTTGCAGGACGTTCAAAGGAACATTACAAGTGAACAAAAAACAATTACGGAAAGAATAAACACTGCACATAAGCATTTCAAATTCTTCATTTTTTGTGCTTTTCCCTGCAATTCAGTGAAGTCGGCGGCCGGGTCTCTTTAAATCTGTCAGCTTGTATCCAGCGTGCAGCACGATCGGCGCACACACCTTCCCGCTGTCACTGAAGTGGAATGATGAATCCTTAGTCACTATTATTCAGCCCTGGCACAGCCTCCTGCAGGTTGGCCCCGTTCCCCAACAAGGGCCCCTGCCAGGCTGTGACCTCACAGAGGCTTGCACCGACCTTGTATTCGGCACTGGCTGGGCGCTTCGGTGTTTCTGCCAAAGATGGCGTCACGAAGAGCTGATGTAGAAACAGGATTTGTTGACAATTAGGAGACTTTATTGTTCCCACTGAAGTGTATTGAGAGTCCAGTGACTGCAAGGAAGATGGAATATGTATGAGCAGAAAGTCAGCACGGTGGCTCAGTGGGCGGCATGGCGGCTCATTGGGCAGCATGGTGGCTATGTGGGCAGCACGGTGGCTCAATGGATGGTATGTTGGCTCAGTGAGTGGTGCAGTGGCTCATTGGGCATCACAGTGGCCCATTGGGCATCACAGTGGCTCAGTGGGTGGCATGCTGGCTCCGTGGGTGGCATGGTGGCTAAGTGTGCAGCACGGTGGCTCAATAGGCGGGATGGTGGCTCAGTGGGTGTCATGGTGGCTCATTGGGCATCACAGTGGCTCAGTGGGTGGCATGGTGGCTCAGTGGGAAGCTTGGTGGCTCAATGGGTGTCATGGTGGCTCAATGGGTGTCACGGTGGCTCAGCGGGCAGGACGGTGGCTCAGTAGGCGGCATGGTGACTCAGTGGGCAGCACAATGGCTTAGTGGGCAGGACGGTGTCCCAGTAGGCAGCATGGTGGCTCAGTGGGTGGTGCGGTGGCTCAGTGGGCGGCATGGTGGCTCAGTAGGTGGCACAGTAGGTGACATGGTGGCTCAGTGGGCAGCACAGTGGCTCAGTGGGTGGCATGATGGCTCAGTGGGTGGCACGGTGGGTCAGTGGGCAGCACGGCGGCTCAGTGGGCACCACGGTGGTCCTGCAGCACTGGTGTCCCAAGATCTTTTCCTATCCGGGACGGTTTACAATTTCTATTCTGTAGTTGCTGATTTTTCCATTTTCTCACAGTCCACAATCATTCCCACAGATGAGCTGACATATCCCGGAATTGGCTCCAGCGTGGGGTATATTTGTGAGACCGTTGTAGTTATAATAGATTGCAAGCTCTTTGGTAACAGAGGCTGATGGTGAGTAGTTTGTATTCTCCAGCCACCCTGGATATGCAGACAGCCCACTGAAGCCAATGGCAGGCGGCCTGCTGCATGGAGCTGATCCTGGAGTGCAGATCCACACGGGGGGGGGGGGCAGGTGTGTAGGGTTTGATGTGCAGATCAGGACCAGACCCTTGTAGACTCTTTAGGATTCGTATGAAGGAGACGTGCTGCAGGGCTGTCAAGGTAGCATCACTGGCCCCTGGGCAAAGTAATGCACTGGGGCCCCTACTAGACTGCCCCAGGTTACGCACCTACTCTCAAGAATGAAAGTATAAATAGTTGATACAATGAAACATATTTATTAGGACTTTCAATAAAATTGATTTTAAACAATAAGAAAACATTCCATAAATCAAAGACTAAACAACACAAAGGGCACAGGATGGGTTGTGGAGTCGGGGGGGGCACAATACTGGGATCAGGAGGACACAATACTGGGATCAAGAGGGCACAAAACTGGGATCAGAGGGCACAATACTGGGATCAGGAGGACACAGTACAGTGGGATCAGGAGGGCACAGTACAGGAGGATCAGGAGGACACAATACTGGGATCAGGAGGGCACAATACTGGGATCAGGAGGGCACAGTACAGGGGGTATCAGGAGGACACAATACTGGGATCAGGAGGGCACAATACTGGGATCAGGAGGACACAATACTGGGATCAGGAGGGCACAGTACAGGGGGTATCAGGAGGACACAATACTGGGATCAGGAGAGCACAATACTGAGATCAGGAGGACACAATACTGGGATCAGGAGGACACAGTACAGAGGGATCAGGAGTGCACAATACTGGGATCAGGAGGGCACAGTACAGGAGGATCAGGAGGGCACAGTACAGGAGGATCAGGAGGACACAATACTGGGATCAGGAGGGCACAATACTGGGATCAGGAGGGCACAGTACAGGGGGTATCAGGAGGACACAATACTGGGATCAGGAGGGCACAATACTGGGATCAGGAGGACACAATACTGGGATCAGGAGGGCACAGTACAGGGGGTATCAGGAGGACACAATACTGGGATCAGGAGAGCACAATACTGAGATCAGGAGGACACAATACTGG